ATAATTTGTTCACAGAATGTAATAAGAAATTTGTGTAAATAAGTACATAAGCAACAACAACAAAAGGCACATCAATATCACTGCCACACCATACAATTACGTTTGAATAAGAAAACAGAGTTATACGCACAGCATTAAAAGAATACCTTTGAAGTACACCATATTCATTTCTTACCCTGAATCGAGCAGAACCATGTAATTATTTAATCTGCAACTACATTTTGAAATTTAATAATACACATTTTGTACCGAAATTAAATAATTACAAATATAGTTTTTACTAACCTATACATGCAGAAATTCAGGGAAAAAAGATCGCCAGATCGCATTTTACCAGTTTGCTTTAAAAAAATGAATTAACATAAATAATTACAATTGAAAACCTATTCATTTAAGCAATAATGGATTATAAATTTAATTTTACCTTACAATCAAGAATGAGAATAGCCACATCACACCCACACCACGCCTGCATATAGGCAAGAGAACATTAACTGGGCTGAATAACAAACAACCATCACAGCAAAAGCTACTGCTTCTTGCTGCAATTTTTAATTTCGCTACAAATAACAGAATAATACTAGAATTGCTTACAATAAGTGTACATAGAATGTTAGGCTTTTGGTATTAATATTACACGCTCTAGCTCGGCTGAAGTTAATATGTTAATGTTCTGGCTAGCATGTTCAACTAGTGCATTATTAAAACTGATTCCAATAACGTCTGGAAGTTGAGGGCAGAAACAAAATATTTGCTCAGCCAGATATTTAACATTACTATTAATACGATATCAAAGAACATGAAAATGAGTATATTTGTTCAAAAGAAACAGAAATACAAGAATATATTACATTTTCGCAGTATTTAAGAAAAATGGGTGAATAAGTACATAAACACACGAATTTTTTTTCTTCCTTTTAACTGCAACAAACAACAATAACTATATACATTCATAAATAATTTTGTATTCAAAGTTAATTAATATTTACAAAATCAAAAATAATTCTACCTATACATTCAGCAGAAAACGAATTATGCTTATATTGCGGTCTGTGCAAGAAAAAAATAATGATTAAAATAATCAAAAAGACTATTCATTTAAGTGGAAAAAGCATTAGAATTTTAATTTATTTGAATTTCAACTTAAAATTGGAACAATAGATATCACTTGTATACTCACCAACTACACCATCCCACCACGTTCGAGAACAAAATGCGCTCGATTGCATGGCACATTGGAGATGTTCATGTGCAGATGGTCTCTGCGCAACCAGTCGTACATTTAGCATTTACCATGTTTGAGCTAGCCGTCCGACGTCGTACGGGTAGATACTTCCTTCCAGAGCTGTAGTAAGATAAAACCGCAGACGTTGGAGCTAAAAATCGATCTAAAACTGGGAAAACATTTTAATAGTCCTTTCAAAATTGAAAAAAAAAAAAAAAAAAAAAAAAAAAAACTCTGCTTTATCTCTCTAAAGAATTTAATATCATTTACAGCCGTTTAGCAGATTTACAAAACACAACAGCAGCATGTATATTACACATGTAACACATTACTCGAGATAGTGGATTGCATTAAAATTTCTCTTCCTTTTTCTTAGTGTCTTTAAATGCAATTTCTCCATGTTCTTCTGAGGGGTAATAAAATTAATATTTTTTCATTATCTTTTGTTTTGCCTTTTATCTCTTCTTTACATTTCATTCAGTCACAAAACTTTCCCTTTTCTAGCCATGCCTTTAACTTGCGTATTGGTCGGTTTTCTTTTAATGGGTCAAAAGACTTTGCGGTTCAGTGTAAGCAGCTATTATTTGTTTTGTCTTTCTGTCTAGCACTGTTAACTTTTCGTGGCAGAGCGGTTCGATGTGTGAACGATGGTTGCTGAGCATTTGGGCAGTGCTTGGTTTGAAGCTGAATGGAGGGAATTAGATTGCAAAAATGAAAAAAAGTCGAGCCCTCTTGCAGCACCCAACGGTTTAAAGTGTAAAACGGTGTTTGATGTTGTTAGAACTGGGTAAGAAAATTATGTTTAACACACTACGCCTAATGTAAATAATATTATTGAAGTAGCTTGTACGTAAAAAGATATCGGTAGGTATATTAGGTGTTTTCCTAACAAAGAGTAATGTAGTTTCGGGTCAGGTCTTAAGTGGTGTCATGCTTTGAGAAATGGTACTTCCACAGTAGAAAGATATTTCAAGGGCAACAATTTTCAGTGAACTTTTTCTTTCATGTTTCCTAAGTCATGCCATAAATTACTACAAAGATAAAATCGATTGCATGTGTCTGTTTTATAAACACTCATATCAATATTATTACATACTTAATTGCATCTGTTAGCTTTGTTTAATTTCATTTTGTTCTAGTAGTATTCTTTAACTCCCCCCTTTTTTTTTGCTCTGATGTGTGTTCTTGTACCATGTTATATGAGAACTTAATAGGCACTGTAAATGTTATATATTAGATGATGCATTTATTTGCAATTGTTTAGATTAAAATCATTAACTATTACATAGTTAATTATTAATTTACTTGTTTAGATTAAAATCAGTAACTATTTTAACTGTCATAGGTACCTTTTTGGCTAGGAATTTCAAAAGAGTTATTAATTTTCTGTAGCTATGACTAAAATTTCTGGTACTTTTCTGTTATCGAGACCGGATTCAGAAATGTATGCATGTGTCTATGTATGTATATATGTTCATATATATGTATATGTATACACACACATTCATGCTTACATAATATACATCTACATGCATGCACATACGTACATAAATTTCTGGATCCAGTCCCCCCCCCCCCCCCCGATAACAGAATAGTACTAAATTTCTGACCTCATTGCATTAGGATTGCATTTTCCCCCATCTTCTCTATATTTTTTCTTGTATATCTAAAAGAATTGCACTTTTCTTTTAATGACCAGAATGTACTCTTTGGGGCAGGTAATTGTAAACTGCATTGATATTTATAAGTAGTTAACAGCATTGAATAAAATTTGGGAAAAAATTATGTGAAGAATTCATCTTTATTGGGACAAAAAGGTTGTTTGTCCAAAGCAGTAGAGAATGATTTTGATTAATTAAAGAATTGCATGATAACTTCTGTTACAGTCTATAGAAACTGGTTCAGATTTTAACAGTTGCCAAATAGAGCTCTTTTAAAACCTCTGGTATATGTGCCCAGCATGCAGACCACCACACCACAACAGCATGCCAAGAAGGCAGGAGGAATACCTTATATACTCCCCCTTTTAAAGGGCGACTGGGGTTTTTAGGGGACCCAGTTGCCAAACCCTGGGTGAGAAAAATCATCATTCACAACCCTTTTAGTTTGGGCACCACTGTAGAGACATTAGGTATTTTGGAAGCAGGCAGGATGAAAAATTAGCAACAGCTTCGCCGGGAATCAGAACACTTACCTCTGGAATACGCGCCCAGCGTGCAGACCATGACACCACGAAGACATGCCAAGAAGGCGGGAGAAATACCTTATAAGTTTATCAATAGAGATGGCAGAGTGAAAAATAATAACATATTTCTATAAAAATATTCTAATGTTTTTAACTAGATATCTCTTGAATTAAATGCATTTTACTTAAATTTAACCAGATTAAAACATGAAAAATAATATTCTTAACAGTTGCATTTGTCGCTTTTAAATAGCTTATTTTGGTAATCAGTAACAGTCAGATTGAATTTGAAAGATGGTTGATCTTTGGATTATGGTAACTTGGCGAAAATTTGGCGACCAACTCTGCTACACCAACCTTCTACTTCTTCTTTTTTCTTTTCTTTTTTTTTTTTTTTTTTTGCCGCCATTTTGTCTTTCACGAAGTAAAAGACAGGTTTCTTTTCTTTTTACTTCCTGAACACTATTTTCCAACAATCTGCTAGCCGAAATTACGCTTATGCTAGAAATTTTTATGGATCAAAACTGCTTAATCATGACGAATATTAACTGCAAAATTGGGAGAACAGTGCAGAATCGCAAACTCCTTGCCGCGTTTTTCAAAATCGCACATACACAGTAACCATGTACACGTCGACTTATTTTTACTTAAAAAAACATCCCAGAATTGCACAAAAATGGCATTGCGCACACTCTTGACTTTATCTATCTACACAGCTATTTTCTCATAAATTACAAAAATTTGCACGAAAATGCAGGAAAATTTTGTGAATCTTTAAACTCGGTAAAAAGCACATATATATGAAATTACCTGATCGCGAAAAAGTATATACCCTATCCAAGGATGAACATTTCCACGTATAATATAAATAAAGTATCCAAAAACGTTTAACTCTAAATTATCTATTATAAACGTCACCAACGAATTCATAACAAAACATTAAAAATGGTTACAAATACTTAGTGTCAAATATTTAAATTATTTCCATGCACGTTTACTTCCACTCAAACGTATACCAAATTGCTACAAAACATATAATTCACAAAATAACTATCATTTAATTAAAATATAATTAAACCATGTAACGTCTCGACTTATTTTTTACTTAAAAAAACATCCCAGAATTGCACAAAAATGGCATTGCTCACACTCTTCACTATATCCATGTACACTGCTTTTTTCTCATAAATTAGAAAAATTCACGAAAATGCATGAAAATTTTGTGAATCTTTAAATTCGGTGGTAAAAAGGACATATATGAAATACCGATCGCGAAAAAGTATATACCCATTCCAAGGATGGACATTTGCACGTATAAAATAAATAAAATATCCAAAAACGGTACTTACGTATTATCGCAACCAGGTTGGCGCGATTTGTAAGTTTGAGTAAAAAAGTATGAATAGAAAGAAAATGTACATTTATTAATTACAGATAATTTTTAATACAGTTTTTTATATTATTTTGTTTTAAAATATAAAATAGCAATTAAACCCTTCTGGTTTCGAATTTGAATAAGTTGCAGAATTATTTTTTCGGCAGAAATCTTTTGGCTATTGCTTTTAGCACTGATTGAAAACCGTCTTCGCCATTAACAGCTTGAGCTTGGTGCCATATAAATTCAATAAGGTATGAGTCAAGATGATGACGGGCTGTTCCTCTCTGTTTTTGTTGCGCCATTTGGTTGAGCCCCACATGCGCTCTACATGTTATGTGTGAACGCCTGTGTTGGGATCCACAAAGTTATATTTGTGATGAACAGTTCCATGCAGAAATCCAGCATTTTCGAACTCACTTATATTGTATCCTTTCCAGCAATCCGAATAAATGATGCTTCCTTCCTTGATATTTTCGCAAATTTTTTCCATGAGGGTAACGGCGCTTCTGTTAGGTACAGTAACCAAAAAAGTCTCTTTCTTTTCTGGGCAAATTCCGCCGAAAACCCATTGCTGTGGTATTACACGCCCAGTGTTATTTTTTCTTTTTACAAAACTACGTATAATGCGTAGGGTTGTCGTAAGTAGGGTCGCCAAATTTGGCGATTTATGCGAATTTTGGCCTGGTTGCGTTAATACGTAAGTACCCCAAAAACTTTTACCTCTAAATTATCTATTATAAATGTCACCAACGAATTTATAACAAAACATTAAAAATGATTACAAATACTTAATGTCAAATACTTAAATTCTTTCCATGCACATTTACTTCTACTCAAACGTATTTCAAAATCCTACAAACATATAACTCTCAAAATCACGATCATTAATTTAAAATATAATTAAATTAAAAAACACTACTTAAAATATAAATAAGTACACATTAAAATAATAAAAATTAGCTTACAATCCTAATTACTTTAAACTAAATCATTGCTAATAAACGATTTTCCAATAAACCATATTAATTTATTTACTCCTTACATTTAGAACAATGCATAAATATAATATCCTCAATAATTAAAAATACTAACTTACCTAATCTTCTACAGAATCTTGAGTGCATGACGGATCACAAAATGTCCATTTTCACCAGTTTCTTGCACCACCATTCAAACTATCTGTAATATCCTTCCTTTCACACAATCTCATTTCATTCCCATATTGGACATTCATACTTATCCGCAATTAAGCAATTCATTTCAATTACACACAAAAACGCAATAAAAATTTCGGATTTACTTTATATACGGCCATGGGATCCAATATTAAACAACACTGTTTCACAGAACATAGAATGAGAAACACTACTGCTAAAGGTACAGCAGATATTTTTACAAATATACCCCCTTTTCCGATTAAAGAACAGTGATTCGTCCATTAATGTTACATGACTTATCTCATGATCTCTCATTTCCCTCACACAAAATAATGCGTAATCGGAACTGAGTACTTCTCACATTATTCCCAAAGTCCTAGGTAGTAACCTTCTTCCAAAATGTCGCCAAACTACCTGTTACCATATTCCAAAGATCAGCCTGAAAGATAAATAAATATCAATAAAAATATATTTACAAGTGCCCCTTGGTGATTTTTGGCGGTACATGGACACAGAGTTTGTGCAGTTCTTTGACTTGTTATTTTGCCTTTGTAGCGGCAATTTTTGGGTTAAAAAATTGCTGCTACACAAATCCAAAATAACAAGTCAAGGAGTTGCACAAACTTGGCACTGCACACTCCCTTGACTTGTCCATACACATCGATCTATTGTCACTTAAAAAGTCAAGGGAGCAGCCAGCAAAAAATATATAATCTCAATCAACTACATTTTAAGTCAAACAATGAAATAACATAAAAAAGGAAATTCATCTTAGCACTACACAAAGGAAATATCCACTTACCTTATTAAGAATTTCCGTGTCTTCAGTCAAACAAAATTCCTTAACAGCATCCAGAAACTTTCTAAAATTATCTGAACTAGAATCTGTATACTGGCATCGGCACATATATTCACAAAAATAAGAGTCAAAAATATCTTCCGTAGAGTCAGTATTCTTCGACGTTCGACCAAGTGCATTTCTTTCGTACAAACAGGACACTTAATATGCCTACTAAGTAAACCTTCATTTACATAGCAGTCAATTAATGCTTTTCCCCTTCCGTTCT